CCCCAAAACCCCAAAACCCCAAAACCCCAAAACCCCGTTTAATCTAATAAGAGTTACAAGAAATAGTAATAAATTATTGAATTTGCAATCTTTATAAAGTCAAACTCTAAAATAAAATATGTTCAACCTTAAAGCAAACATCATAAATACTGAATAATTGCGCCTTGCTAAAGAAAAGCTTGTTCAAGCGAGCCTTGGAAATTCAAATTCAACACAATCATTATCAAAGACGCTTCCTCCTTCTTAGTCGTCTTAATAGCTATTTTAGAAAAACCCTAGAATGGCTAATGCTTATAATCCACTGGCGGAGAGTCATAAAAATATAACAATCAAAAAGATATTGCACGAGATGGAGAGAGACTTGAATTAAGTTGAAGAAGAAAATTATCAAATTGTGAAGGAGCAAGCTGAACAGAGACTTCTTAAAGCTAATCCTAAACTCGCATAGTAAAGACAAAAATAGCTAGAAAAGGAGTAAATTTACTAGTTTGAGCTATAGGGCCCAGGTTCACCTGATAAGGGTAATAATATGTTTAAAAGCTAAATGGGTGACCAATAAAAACATACCATAAAGAAACTTATTAAAGATGTTTAAAATGATGAGATACAAGTGTTAAATGGCCAATTTAAAGCCACTATCAAGCTAAGCAAATTTGAGGATGATGATAAGGACAAAGAAAAACCTATGTATACTTACTAATAGCATAGAGTCTATCTTAAGAAGAAGGGAGTCTCTTACTTTGAGAAATATGAACCAGTTAAGAAAGAAAGCGATTCAGGTAATCAGGAATCAAAATATCATCATTTGGAAGAAGTAAATATGAAAGAAATAATGGAGCAAAAAGTAGTTGAGCAAGAGGCACTTGACGCACTTAATTCAATTAAATTGCAAAGAAATTTATCGCTTCCTTAACTAGGGGAAAATAAAGCAAAAAGAAATAAAATGCAATCAGTAAAGCAGTAATAAGATAAAGTAATATTTGATGAAGTATTTATCAATCCAAGAACTAAACAACTACAGCAAGTCATTCATAAACATAAGTAATAACAATAGAATCTGATTCAAAATTCACTCTCCCTTTCACAAAAAGTTGGCGCAAACGGTTCATTACCGCCTCTCAATGGAAGTGGAGCAAATATGGACAGACTCGGAACTGCATAAAGACATTTAGAAGGTAGAGCATCAGCAAATGCCTTTGTCTAGGATAGAAAATAAAGAATTACTCAAGATAAATAAAATCTAGAAGTGTCTGCATTACTCTAGAGCAAAAGACTGATGGAACAGTCAGAAAAGATTTTTGATTAAGAACTAAAAAATATGAATACTCATGATGGATTAGGAAATAGCTTACCTAAGGATCAAAGACTAAATACTGCTTATTCAAGGTAAAGCAATGATGAGAGTGAAATGCTTGATTTCTATGACCCAAATAATTAAGGAGAGAATTAACACGCTGATGATATTGTTAAGATTGTTATGAGAAAATTCAATTCTAGCGCCAAACTATAAAACTCAACTAGTTTCTTTACTTAGTAAATTCAGGTCCAACCACCTGATGGCCTTATCAATTCTATTGGAAATAATGTTAAAGATGCTTCTTGGGCTCCTTCTATTCCAATATCAACTAACTTTATAAAGTAGTAATCTCTTAAGGATATAACATTAAGAGCTAAAGCTGGTGTTTAAGCTGGAGACATTTAAAAAGAGGCCCATATGGCTTTTGCTCTTGGTAACTTAAATGAAAATGAGAAGAATTACAAGAAGAGTATTAAATTCTACAAAAGATTCTTTTTCTGTGCTAGAATACTTGAAGATCCAGTTGGTGCTTCACTAGGCTTGAATAGATTGGGAGTGATGTATCATAAGCTGAAAAATTACGGTAAGATATTTTAAATTTCTCACCATATTATAGAAAAGAGTCTTTAATTCCATCAAAAGCATCTGTAATTTACAGATAATGAGAATGTCTTTGCCTCTTATTATAATCTTGGCATTTCCTATAGACTAATGAGAGATTTCGATACTTCTATTAAGAACTTCAAATAAGCTTTAGAATGGTCTTAATAACACTAAGAATTTGAATCAGAATGCATTAGTAATGGTCAACTTGGTGTCACCTATCTCATCATAAGATAAAATGAATAAGCTAAGACACATTTTGAGGTAAAAATTTAATAAAAATTAAACTTATAGAACTGCTTAAGAGTTGCAATCTAACTTAAAAATAAAAAGCTTTCACTCGATTGCTTGCTATGTCTTGGATATATTGCATTCACTTCTGAATAATTTAAAATTGCAAAGAATTACTTCCATAAAGCGTTTGCTGTAATTTATACTTGTTCTTATTAAAATTTAGGACGCCTAATCTCTAAATGATAGAGAGTTAGCAGAATAATGTATGTGCAACATGGGAATCGCAATGGGAAATATTTCAGTTAATAATATGAAGAAAAACTTCTCAGTTGAGGTATTAAAGACTGTTCAAAAGTAGGAGTCTGAAGATGATGATGAAGAAATTGAAACTGAATAATGAGTTATATGCTAATTTAAGATCTAAATAAATCTGATACTACTTTCAGTGATTGAGTTAAAATTATACTTTAAAGAAAATTCCATTTAGAGATTGAATTCTTTAAAGGAGTTTTGGGGTTTTGGGGTTTTGGGG